GAGAGAGAGAGAGAGAGAGAGAGAGAGAGAGAGAGAGAGAGAGAGAGAGAGAGAGAGAGAGAGAGAGAGAGAGAGAGAGAGAACTCTTTCTCCCGGTGCGTGGTAGAACGCAGACCACAGAAAACGGGTCACCGTCAGACGAGCTCAGATCACAGACAACGGGGCACTGTCAGTCAAGATGCAAGGGCAGAAACTCAATTTGTCCGCATTCCACAAGTCATACGCCCCCACAGGCACACACAGGGATGGAGTAGTATACTTTGGGAACAAACAAGAAGTCAAAACCGAGAGAAGACCCGTCTCGAGCAATAGAAGTGCATAGCGACACTGATGCAGTGCCCGTTCTGAAATACGGCCGACATGGTGAACCGACCAGGTCTGCATCCACGTGATGACCCCGTCTAACTGCTTAGTAATCAATCGAATTGAGTAGCTCAGGGCGACTACGTCTGCATCCACGTGATGACCGCATCTAAATTCTTACGAATCAATGGAGATGAGCAGCTCATGCGAGGATTGGGTATCTCTGTGGATCCGCTGGAGCATGCATGGACAAGATTCCGAAGTGAATGAGTAGTTCAGGTCCCTGCTGCTATTGTGACTCGTTGGAAGAGGAACAGGAGATGAGAGACGGGGAGGGAGAGGAAGGGAGGCAGAGTCCAAAAAAAGAGGGCTATATCGTTGACAAGCAAGACACGCAGCCACCTGAGTGCCGTCACATTCTCGCTCGCAACGAGAAATCCTCATGTCAAGGCCAAACTCGAGCGACAGCACTCGAGAATGAAAAAATATACGAAAACAATACACCACAAGTCAGCCCAAGGACAACATGAACAACATCTACATTGGTTGATTGATTTTCTGCATAAGATTTTTTGATTCTCACTTGAATGATTGATCGAGTCACGGCAATCGATACTCTCACGCTGGCTTCTTCTCTGCAGAACAACTTCTGTTGCAGCGGCCGCAACACACATTCATCCCTCCTCGATGAGCTTCCTCTCTCCAACCAACACCGTGCATCGGTCACTCTCTTCCTCTTCACCCCGCCAATCTCTCTCTCTCTCTCTCTCTCTCTCTCTCTCTCCCTATTTGTCTATTTCTTTCATGCGCGCGCCCGCTCTGTAACTCTCGCCATGCGCCTAAGAGTGTTCACATTTGAGAGTGCCACTCTATTACTCACTCCCTCTCTCTCTCTCTCTCTCTCTCTCTCTCTCTCTCTCTTGTGTGGTGTGTGTCTCTCTCTCTGTGACGCGCGCGCGCGCTCTGTATCTCTCGCCATGTCTGTAAGAGCGTTCACATACGAGATTGCCATTGTTTTTCGGCAACCAAAGGCGTGCAGGGACAGACCGCGCCAGTTCCAATACAAAAACAACGATTTGCGTACCTCCAATCCGCAACGACGAAGGCACTACAATCACTACGCATTACCACCGTGTTCCAGAAGGAGCTGCAGAAGCATATATGACTAAGCTGTTGGCCGGCTCTCGCGGCGGGCCAAGGACAGTACGGGAAAGTGCAAAAAGCGTAACCATCTCATTTCACACTGATCTCCTACCTCTACTAGGGTCGGAGTTTGGACATCGACGTAGAACAGAGTCCTGGTCTGTTATTCCTCTGTCGACCATGTCCTCGTCGCAGATCAAATGAACCCCTGGTGTACCGGGCCTTCAGACGAAAAAAACCATCTCTGTACCTCCCTCTCTCTCTCTCTCTCTCTCTCTCTCTCTCTCTCTCTCTCTCTGTTTTTTTGCCACTCTCCGACATCGAGCACAAGCACCCCCCCCACCGGCTGTCCGTCTCATGGCGTTTCTACTCTACCTGGAGTTCTCCCACGTGTTGGCGAAGGTCGACCGCCGAGTCCACAATAATGGAGAGACCTGAACACCGCTTAGTGATGTAGAGAAGGACAAAGTGCCCTGCAGTCTTCGAAACCTGTTGAAAACAGGCTTGCCCGCTATGGTAAGCGATCGTCACCGTGCACAGAAAACCGCGACTCGACACCCTGAGTCGACTTCGCCATTCAGGGTCGCAGCATGTCGTTCCGCCTGGCCCTAACTGCTGGGTGGAGCTCAGGCGTCCTCAAACCCCGAATTCTACTAACGCCATACATTTTGTCGACTTCGTGCGAAAGTACCAAAGCACCCACTCTTCTTCTATTTTATCACGAATGCAAGTAGCTCTCGATTAGAATATTCAACTTCTCTGCCCCCCCGCGCCCTCTCGCGTTAGAATTCTCCCGTTCAACAACCGAACCACCCATCTCTCTCTCTCTCTCTCTCTCTCTCTCTCCAAATAGACGAACTAAAGGGCACCGACTAACGGGAAAACAACTCGTTCGACAGGCCGTTCAAAATCGATATCGGTAGGCTCAGCAAAAGCCTTTCATGAGCAAAAGCATCCAGGGGAGACATTGAAAACTTTGCCACCCCTCAACATGATCACCTCAACTCCCTCCACCTCAAACACGCCCTCGACCTTCATGCCTCCGTGCTTGCAGTCCAATCTTCCGTTGTTCGCATCGACTTCGACGTGCACTTAAGTACGTCCACAGCACAACACGCCGTCGTTATTCACAGTGACCAGTCAATACTCAAGTGCCGGACGTCCCCATCGCAGTGAGGGAAGGCGACTCCGTAGTTCTCTGATGCGTGTCCAGAGCCACATGCAGACTCCATTGTTCCTGTGCAACACATCGAAAGCACACCGGGTTCGTTCAGTCTTCTCGTTGCCTGATACCACTTATCAAGACCCCCTACCTTATTCACACGTCTGCGTGACTTCAATTAGTACTCGTCAACCAACCTCGTGCGTTGCTTCAATCATTAAGAAGGGCATTGGCAATGACAATAATACCAGTGATGACTCCACCCCCGACATAACCCCGCGTGTTAAGTCTCCCTTCCATGCAGGCGAACAAACATGGATGCGACATTTGTCTACTATGTCTAGAGACTAGAGATGCCATGTAAGAACCCAACGACGAGCTCAGCACACGGTCAGATATGCAGCAACACAAGACACTTCATCGGGACTCGCATACATGTTTCCTTCGAAGGAGGACAATGCCATCCACTTAGATTTAAACAAGCCGGGCTGGGTAGTCGTCCTCACCTGCAACGACAGAAAGAAACAAAGTCAGAGAGGGTAGGGAGGTACAAACGCACACGCGAAATAACGAGCAGGCGAGAGCACTCAGAGAGAGAGAGAGAGAGAGAGAGAGAGAGAGAGAGAGAGAGAGAGAGATCCCTAAACATTTCCATTTAACACCACTAGCCCACACTTTCCCCGATTACAGAGGTTTACGAGGGGCTGGCTGGTTTGTTCAGCGGCTAGCCGGATGAGAGCCGTTGCTGCCTTCGAAGCACGATGCGCCTCACGCCGATTTCCACCGGAACTCGCAATTAGATACAGACAAACTGAACAAGTACAACTGGATGCACACAAACTGAACAAGTGCACACGCATACATGAGTGTACCGACGCCACCAAGCACAACCGCCTTCGCCTTGATGAGCACGCATTAATTCAAAGAAGACCGAAGTGATTCCTGGAAGGAAGAGCAGAAGGACGGCAGAGCGGGACAGGCTCGGTCGGTTATTAGTTCTTACCTGAAGCACTGAGCGACAGAGTCCGCGAGGATATACCCAAATTGCTAACAAAGTCGAGACCGCCACCCTCTACCAGAATGCTGCCAGCACCAGCGCCAGTACCTTCTGTGGAGGCAGCGCCGGGTCCGCCGTTCACAGTTCCGGCGGTCGCTCCTCCCGTGGCGCTGCCCACGTTCCCMCCCCCCCCTGCACGCACGCACCCCCCAAGTTCGCTTCCATCCCCGCCTCCGTCGCCTCTGCCATGGCCGGACTCCCCGCTGCTGCTCTCCGCGAGAGAGACGAAGTTCCCCGACTTGCGCAATGTTGCCCGGGGGAACGCTTCCATGCGCCCAGTTGACCCATCGCGTGGTGAGCAATCCACACCAAGTCCCCCAGCAGGCGACACAGAGACGGCGTTCATCGATGAGCCCCCGAGAGAGGAGAGCTCACCTCCACCTGACATGCCTGCCGTACCGGCGACCCGTAGGCTTTGGCCGAAGCCATCCCCCAGCAAGTTGAAGCCCTGCTGGGTCCCTCCGGGGCTATCTGCTTTGGTACTATCGCTGGCAGCGGACGTTGTCGACGACCCTCGAGGGGTGGTGGTATGGAGAACCTCACCGAGAGGGCCGCCCACGTCCCAGCCGGATGCTGACATTGTCCAAGCCAGGCCCTGTGCATCGGGCGGCGCGCTTGTTCCCGCTGCTTGCTGATGATGATGATGGTGGTGGTGGTGAGCGTGGTGATGACTCCGCTGATCGACCTCCTCGCGCTCGAGGCTGATTCCAACGCCGAGTCCCATGTGGGTAGGATCTCTGTTCATGTCCACCTCGTCGGACTTATGGCTAGCGATTCTCGGAGGAGAGAGCTTTCCTCCGGTCGGCGAGAGAGCCCTGGCCGCTAGTTCCGCCGCCGCGGGCGAAGGGATCGACATAGAGAGAGAGCTGGTTCCACGCCCGACTTGGAGTCGAGCGTCGTCTGCCGAAGCCGACGACACATCGTTACGTGCCCAGCGCACCGGCCACGTGTCGATGAAGCTACGGACCTCCACGTTTCCCGCACCTGAATCCTTCCCAATGTCGATGCTCATCGTCCCCTGAGTGGCGGAGACACCGCCCACCGTCGACGATCCGTTCGCATTGCACCCCCCTCCCATACCCATGCTCGCGGCCACGGCGGACGCGGAAGAGGCGCGGATTATGGGCTGCTGCTGAGTGAGTAGCGCTCGGAGCTGGTTGTCGTACGGAATGATCGAGGCCGCGTAGGCGCCGGCATGCCCGTTGCCCCCGCCCGACAGCGGCACCTTCCCGACCAGGTTACGTAAGGCGTTGGCTGTCGTGGCCTGAGGAAGCGACTGCAGGCTCGCCGTCGACAACGCGTTCTTGTTCAAGTTCGCCAGGAGGTCGTGCGGCAGAAATGGGTTCATTGAACTCGTCACACCACACGGCTTGTCTTGCGACCAATAAAGGTCCGCACGGTCGAACAATCTTCAGCCATCAGTGGTAACCCCAATCACACGCCGCGTCGCAGGCACAAACGTCGGCACACACACACACACACACACAAGTCAACAAGCAAAGCAAGCCACGGGAGTCACGCATTCTTAGTCATCGGCATCACTGAAATGCGATAAGCCAGGTCCAAAGATAGCGAGGATTGACAGATTTGAGAGGCCTTTCTTGATTCCATGCATGGTGGTGATATGACCGTTGTTAGTTAGACTCACTCACTAGCCCGGAGGGATAATAAATAAATAAAAAACCGATAAGCCAAGCATCATTTCCCGCCATTGCCTCCATGAAGGCGCCACGAGAGAGCGATTACCTTCCTCGTGACAACGTCGTCATGGGTACTACCCGATCAAACAACCAAAAGGCGTAGACAAGAGCGTGAAGGTAGTAGGACAGACGTGAGTGACCGTCGCCAGGGGCAAAGAGAACAATAAGTGGTACAAGTAGATTCTGGATGAACTAGGTAGTCCGCTTGTATTTTTGGAAAAAGTACTAAGCTTCCCTGAGAGTCCTAACGAGTCAGTAAGAGCATCGTTCTACTTCTTTTCTTTATTTCTGCCCACGTTTTGCCGGGCAGTTCTTCAGGACTTGCGGATTGAGGAGTTGAGCTCCATAATCCGCGTGTACTTTCCGTAAAGCAATCAACTTTCAGAGTCCGAATGAGTCTGCGAGAGCACCGTTCTTCTTCATTTCTTCTTCTCTCTCTTTCTGCCCACGTTTTGCCGGGCATTTCTTCTCGACTAGACAATTACCAGGCTTTCGCCGCTGATCGATTGGTGCACAGATGCGTCCACGAGCGCCCGGGCGAACTCAACGCATGTGTCCACGAGCGCCCAGACGAGTTCAAGGGATGTGTCAACGAGCGCCCGCACGACTTCAGCCGCCAATAGATCAGGAGTGGGAACCGAGCGCGTCATTTCCACTTCTTCGCGATTCCCTAGTGGAAGTTCTGGAACTGTGCTTAGGGACGAAAACCGGAAAATTGCACTTTTCCCCGGTTGCAAATGCAGGAAATGTTACTTCCTGCATGTTTTGACCGTACCGTCCATGGTGGGACACGGGGAGAGGAAGGCTTCCTGCATGCACGAGGGCTCGTCGAGAAATGAAGACGGAAAAGGACGAAAATGGCAAGCATGCATGCATGCACAGGAGTTCCGGACCACATACGACGGAGGAGTATATCAGCAGCCAGGGAAGCAAGCAAGCGGAATCCCGGGGAGGGGAAAAAAAAAAAGAAAGTATAGATTAATGAAATGTTTTTTACCTTTGGGAAAAAAAAAAAAAAGAGACGAGAAAGACCGAAAGAAAGAGCGAGGTAGCCAACGCAGAAGATGCAGGAGGTACGGTCCCCTGCGTCGGGCCATTCCGTGCACGGCGTGCAGTAATCAGGACTACCGTCTTCCCCTGAACACAACGCACCCTGAAAATGAACGTATACAAGGTATGTTTCCGTCCCGATACAGTAAAAATGAGGGTGCGTTGTGTTTGGGGGAAGAAGGTAGGGGAGAAGATGCAGGAGGTACGGTCCGATGGGAGCTGTGTTCGGGGGAAGAAGGTAGGGCATTTCGTGCAGTAATCAGAGGAAGTACTAGAAGAGCGATGGGAGCTGAAAAGCATCCTCAGCTGCTGGATAAGCTACGGGGATCGTCCCCGCTGCAGCGCTCAGTGAGCTGGGGGCGCAAGGGGGGGAGGAGGGGAGGATAGGGGGGGCGGAAATGCCTCACCTTGGGTCCTTATGCACGCCATTCAACCCTTGTAGCGAGGACGCGGGTCCAAACTTGCGGCCGGAACTGACGGGATCCCAAAGGCCGCTATGCATGCCGCAAATGAGACCTTGTGAGAATGCTAGAGGAATCCTGTCACTAATAGACGCGCCGGACAACGAGGCAGTGACACGTTCCCCTCCTTTGGCGGCGGCGGCCGCCGCCGCCACAGCTCCAAAGGTGCCAGCACCGCACGCCGCGGCTAGCGAACGGTACTGCTCGCTCTGCCAAGCGGAGTCGATTCTAGAGACGCCATTAGCCGCGGCTATGCAAGCCGCCATACCAGGAGACTGACCCTCCTGCAGCTTGCGGGTTCTGTGACGTCCTCTGTGCATGTGCCTCTCGCAATACTTCTGCTCGGGAACCACCTCCTTTGTGCAGCGCCATTTCTTTCCGTCCGTCCTCTTGCACCTATTGGCATCGCTGCGATCAGCCGGCGCCACCACAGGCTCGCTCTGCCCCCAGCTATTCGCTGACCCTGCAAATGAACATGGGACCACCACCATCACCACCGTGTCATCACGCAAGTAACTCGCGTCAGTCAGTCAGAACCGACCAGGAGTCCATGCACTCCCATGCATTCACAACAGTCTCTCATCATCTCTCTTCTCCACTCCTCTCCTGTCCTCCTCTCAACTCCTCTCCTGAGATATCATCACCATACGTATAGTACCCTTAGGAAACCCAAACCAGCAAGCACTTCACAACAGCAGGACAGCAGAATACGTATGCGCCGACTGCACTGGCTTCACTCATTCTTAAAATCTTGCATCGTATCTGACAGTCTGACACAAAATACCGCAACCAGATCAGGCTGAGTACAAAAGTGCCCAGAGAACGTATGGAAACAAATCAGTGGCAGAGGTACACAAGCTTTCCACCACTGAGGACGACTGTGTGATTGTAGGTGGATGTCAGATCCTTTCGGGAGCTAGGCCAGGCGTCATAACAACACGTGATTTATTTTTTTAAGCCAAGGCCAACACAGGCAGGTTGCCCACGCTAGGACGAAGAACAGCTTAGCCTAGCGAGCCGAATAACTTGACTGCCTGACGGAGTATCAGCACCTGCGGAGGAGCACCATAGACAAAAACAGGGATCAAAAGGGAACAAACAAAAAAACAGGCCCCAGACACAGCAACGTGGGCGAACACAGAATGCGCTTAGCAACAACATCATCCTTTCGAATTTCATGTCTTACAGACGTGAGCGGAAGCTTGAGAGAAGTTGCAGGAGACAGAAAGACGGCCATGCATCTACAACGGCCGGGCACGGTACATTACCATCCCCACTTCATACAGGTGGCATCTTTCTCCGCCACTCATCATTTCGATATTTTGCACTCCTACATGATTCCATTCTAAACCTGTGCACGACCCCGGAAAGCCCACGCACAACAGACAGCAGTAATGAGGTTAACGGTGTTGAACCTGATGGGCTTCTTTCCGTCACTGTTTCTCGATGCTTTCTTTTCCTACTTTTCCTTATTTATTTGTTTTCGAACTCCCGCTCAGAAGGTTTCGCTACTGACCTTGAAGACGAAAATCACTTGCCACATAAAAAACTTCTTTTATGAACCTTTCCAGGGAGGAAGAGAAGACAATGAAAGACGGGTAGCGGAGAAGAGGGATGGATGGATGGATGGATATCCACCTTCTAGGCAAGGCAACTCCGTCAACGGTCCGGTTCCCATTTCCGAAGCACGCTTAGCGTGATAGCTAGCTTGAAAGGCGCAACGGAAATGCTCTGCCGCTGGAAAACACGATTCGATCGCCGTGGATTTAACCACCGTCTCCATAATACTCGAGCCGAGCCGACGCTACGCCTCAGGATGGCGTCGTTCGGAGCGTCACGTCACTCTCTCCTCTTACATCAATTGCGATTGACTTAATGAACTGGCTGCCGGGCACCGTCCTGTGAATGGCACGCCACCTCAGAGATAAAATCCCTGCCTTACGCGCGCTTTAGCGAGAGAGCTTCGTCGCGGTGTGTTACTAAGCACGAGAATATGGAGGCAGACTGGAGGGCAGGGAAGGAGAGGGGAGGGGAGGTGACTGGACGAAAGGGCGTATCTACGAAATTACTAGCTAGGGGGACATGTCCGTCTGTCTGTCTATCACGCGGACATTGGCTCCGCCGTACGAAAGGATCACAAGCCACTTCGATCCCGCAGAAAACGCACGCACGCACGCTGACCAACGACTGACAGCCCTTCATGAGGACCTCAGTCACAGAGAGAACGAGCAGAGAGCGAGAAAGGATGTCCGGCCAGCACGGGGCGAACTGTGAGGGAGCAATCGCCGCGGCTGAGTCAAACTCGACATCGTAACTTTGAGCTAGTCCTGGTGCAAGCAGTGCGCCCAAGAGGCCTCGTTTTCAAAGCCGGGTTCTTAAGTAACAAAAAGCACCAGACTGTCCGACGGAAAGACGAGAAGATGAAACCCCACCCGGTCAAACCTATCGTCCAAATGCGGTCGACCAATCATTCGCATCCTAAACTGTTTTGCCTTCCTTCGTAGGTTAAAATGTGATGCAAGGCACTCGCATCTCGGGCATAGCTAGCTAGCATAGCCAGTGAGACCAACAACGTGATTGCCACGCGCTTCATGACCGTCAGTTCATCGCGATCAATCTGATAAAGAAGAAGAAACGTACACGGTGGACAAAGAACGCCAGCGTTCGGGAACGGGTGCGTGTGATTTCGGGACAAGCGATCTCCTTCCTCCTGCTTTTCCCCTTCTTCTGCATGCATCCATACAACGAAAAACGAAACGTATGCGGTGGACAAACGTCAGCGGACGGGCGAGACGTGCGTTCTTCGGGAGTGGTCTTCGTTCGGCTTTCCCGTTCTGCTGCTTCTACATGCATCACAGCAGCAGCCTATGACAATGTGCTGCTATTGTCCCCGTATGCTTTCCCTTTGACGGCCAGCATCCGAACCACAACATTCCATCTTCACTGAGTCCATAACCGACCGAACGAAACGTGTCCATCTCACGCTCCTCCACACTTTGCTCTTCTGGATCTCAACGATTTTGTTATGACGATCAACATCTTCCCCACTTTTTGGGGGAGCGGAATCACTCTTCAGCTCATGCCGCGCTCTACTCCACTGCCTGATATTCACCCAACTCACATTCCCCTCTCTCTCTCTCTCTCTCTCTCTCGCTCGCTCGCTCGCTCTCTCTCTCTCTCTCGATGTGTCTGCGTGTGTGTGTGTGTGTGTGTGTGTGTGTGTGTGTGTGTGTGTGTGTGTGCGCGTGTGTGTGTGTCTGTGCGTGTGTTCCTATCAGTCTCTGAGTCTCGGAATACGGAACGCTCTTCCATACACCTTCGCCACGGTGGCGAATAGGGAGGCACGACCGAGAGAGAGGAAGGCATAGGTACCGCTACTCCCGGCAGAGACACAAGAATGAGGGGCTCGAAGTGCCCGCTGCTCCCCGCAGACCAAGAGGCTGTCGCGTGACCCGGGATTGAAGCAGGAAATCGCACTGGCTAACAATCTAGGAACGCAATACGGTGCCACGGTCTTGTCACCACTACAGAGGGACGCAAACCATCATGCTTTCCACCACTACCCCAACGCCCCCTGCCTCCCCCCCCCCCCCCCCCCCCCCCCCCCCCCCCCCCCCCCCCCCCCCCCTCCTCTTCTGGAGCCGCAAGGATCGAGCAGCTCTCTCGCAATTCCGGAATCTTGGCTACTTCCTTGGAAAGCAACGTGCGGGTCACATCTGATCACTGATTCTTCGGTCCTCACTAGGTCCCACTTACACGAATGAAGAGATATTGACCGTAGATAGCACAGATCAACGGTCAGAATCTCGTAATCCGTGGAAGTGGGACCTTGCCCCAGATCGAGGAGAATAATCGCGTCATGCACATGAAAAGAACGAAGGAAAAAAAAAGAGAAGGGCAAGGTTGGTTCTTTCGCATCGTCACAGAAGGTGCGCGCGCGCGAACTCGATCCCAACCCCGAATCGGCCTATTGGCGCTAAGGGCAGACGCAAGGATCCAAGCAGGAAAGCACAAGAAGAATTTCCTAAGCATTGCGTACCGGACGGGCGAGGTGCCGTTACGCCCAGAGAAAGTACAGGGGAGGACGGGAAACGCCCGTCTTTCGTCAAAAAAAAAGAAAAAAAGCGCCCGTGTTTCGTGCGACAGAAACGGCGGCGAGGCACCAACTGGCCTAGCTCAGTCGGTGCAGGTACACCCCTGTAACTGTTGAAATACACACCGAGGTTCGAACTCCACTAAAAACGGCGGCGAGGCGACGCTGACCCGAGCCTAATAAGCCTACTGGGGCCTCGTCCCACCAGCAGCGTTGAGTTTTCTCAACCCCGGAAACTAGACGTCTTTATGGAGACGTGCGGTTGAGGAAACTCGACGGATTTTCTGTAAATCTCCGCAAAAACATGTCCAGATTTGGCCATTGAGGACACTCGACGCAGCGAGTGGAACGAGGCGCCTGGCCTGCAACGACGAGAAAAAAAAAACACAACAAAAAACAAACAACAATGCATTGGATTGGAGATCGTCGGCGCGCGCGCGTTGACTCCCAGCTAAGTAAGTAAAAAATAAATCAAGAAAAAACAAACCAGAAAAAAACAATACGTGAATGGCCGCCAAGTCGGGTTTCGGTTTTTTTTTTTTTTTTTTTTTTTTTTTTTTTTTTTTTTTGTCGGCCGGGTTTCCTCTCTGTATCGGCCGGGTTCTCAGGGTATGTATGCGGTGGAGACTACGTAGTAGAAAAATGCTGAAGGCAAGGAGGCGTAGGCCCGCGTAGGCCCACCGGCGACGAGGTCCATTAACCAACGGGGATTCGATGAAGCGCCAGAATCAGGACGTGTTTGAGGACAGGTGCAGAACGTAGCGATTGATCTGCTTTCAATATCCGAGTTCTCAGGGTATGTATGCGGGGTGCAGACTACCTACCCGGTTTAGTAGGGAAAGGAATGTCGAAGGCGAGGCGCAGTAGGGCCAACCTTGGGGGCGAGCGAGGTCCCGCCCGGAAAGCGGATTGGACTAGGCGCCCGAATCTGGGCGGGTTTAAACCAAAGATGCAGAAGCAGATCAACCTCGATTCTTTGCACATCTTCACAAACGCGTCCAGATTCAGGAGTCAAATCCAAATCCTCTTCGCCGGTGGGACCTCGCCACCGCAGCAGGATAAGCTCTCTTGCTCCCGTCTGTCTGGGAAGAGAAGCAAAACGAACAGCTCACCACTGCGAGATTAAGTCTCGGCCGTCCGGATGCGAATCCGAACGGCTAATATTCGATCGATTGCGTAACATGTGAGTGAGCTCATCCTCACGCAGGTGGGCCAGCAGCCCTCGTGATAAAAGTGCGCGGCGCGCCAAGTACCGTGCACCACTCAGCACGGACGCTCTGACATCTACGCTGACACTCCCCTGACATGCAACTCATAGGGGTCCCCCCGGCCGCAGCCTGTTTTCGACAGCCACGAATGATTGACTTGAGGCACCCACCCCTGCCCTCCTACCCTTTCTTTTTTTGGCCAATTGAGCGCTACTGCGAGGAGAGAAGGAGAAAACAATGCAAAATCGCTGCTTTGCCAAAACAAAAAGAAAAAAACGCTTGCTTGGACGCTCTAACGCCTACTCGCGCTCAAAAGGAGAGGGAAAAGTCTGGCTTGAACCGGCCACACTAGAACGAGGTCCCCGTGCTGTCCGGAGGCCCTTTTTTCGTTTCTCGTTCTCCTTTTTTTTGTCGGAGGTCGTTCTTGCGTTAATTGGGTGGGGGAGGTGGGCTCCCGCAGCACATTCTGGCTGCCAGCCATTTAAGCCACGCCCAGCTCCACTCTGACAAAGTGAGCAATTGGTGGCAGAGTTCCCATCGCCTGGGACTCCTCTCCCTTTGTGATTGCTGCCGATACGCAGCAACCCAGCCCAGCCCAGCCCAGCCGAGCCCAGAGCATTTGACGTGCCGGATAGCCGAGTGTCTGCTGAAATCCGCGCATTCATACTTGCGAGGAGTGGGCCCATGGGCCTCATCGTGTGCAACGGCGGACAACACTCAATTCGCAAAAAGGAGAAAACTAAAGACTCTCTCCAATTCAACTGACCACGGCCGCGAGAGATAATATTAGTATACGTATACACCTCTCTCCAATTCAACTGACCACGGCCGCGAGAGATAATATTAGTATACGTATACACATGCACAACTCCAGCTCATCTCATGCGGGCCCCAC